TGTGTAAACAAAAAGTACCATGTATTACAATTTATAAAAAAAAATACATGAAGTACTATGACACACACATACAAAATAATTATAAAAGTAATAATTCATTTTCTATTCATTGTTCTTTCTTAATTTATAGCGCGGGCATATTCTATTAAATACTTTTTTCAACAAGTTCGATTAATTTCTTTTCTTCACATACTCTTTAAATTTTTAGAAAGTTGATAATATTAATAACGATGGCTTGGTGTTGGGGCTTATATTTGTTTGAAGCTTCTAGACGTAAAGTAATGTATCCTGTGTTTTAATTATTTTTGCCCTCTAGTACGTATAATTTTCAATTCACGTGTTACGAATCAAGTGTGAACGGGATTCTTTCTGAAGAGAGTAAAGTATTTTATAGCATAAAGGACTATTACAATCAGTATATTGTGTTGGGGTAGCAATTGTTACACGACTGTGTAGGTTTTAGTTTGAGAAGTCAATATCTCTTGTGAATACAATCTGACTATGCTGTAAAATGGTTGTTCTTATCCCCGCAATGCCTGAGGGAATAAAAAGTTCCCCAAATAACCAAAGAACACAATACAAGGACCAACACTAATAATTAAAGAATTGAATAGCCTAACTTATTTGTTGCAATATGCAAGAATACTTATTATCAGTATTTCTTAGTCAGTTAAACGTGTTGGATGCAATTAGTTGCATAAAAATCAATATTTTAGTTATCATGTAAAAACATCTGAGAAAATAATGATGAAACTCTAACTTACTATTGAATAAAGTTATGATGTTTATAAAAATTTCATTATTTGCCCCTGCCTCCCAGACGGAATTCCCATTTTCCGGTTCAAGTTGGTGTTAGAGTTGTACTTAATGGATCTTCTGTTGCAACAATAACTTGGCTAGCAATGGACAAAGCAGGTGAAACATTATGATCATTGTTATTCCTGGACCAATTAATCTTTTCTACCATAGCTCTTCCCAGAGATTATGGTTGTGTTGTTGGCTACAAATAGTTACCAGTTCGTTACCCGTAATAAATGTACCAGTTCGGTATAAGAATATCAAGATTGGTTGTTGGCGATAACTATATCAATAATTAAAGTCAAGATACATTTACTTTATATTTAGTCTTTGTTTATTTACCACAGCATCAATAGTGCACTGTTCCAGCCTCTGCCTAAATAACGCTTCTTGGATCATAGCACTTACTCTAATCTATATCTATTCTAAACAATTGTCACTAGAAAAAAAGCCTGTGAATGAAAGAGAAAACAGAGATGGCCAGCGTTCGGAATTGCTATACAAGCATATTGAGAGGGGTGGGAAGGGAGGGTGAAAGGAATATTTGTAGGTCAGGTCTGCTGGAGATCTTCATTTTTTGCACTTTTGTTCGTTCAGCATGAGCCTCGATTACAGCGGTTCATGCATGAAGCTAAAGCAGACTGAACATATGTTTACACTTTGATCCTTCAGTGCTATACTTGTTTTCTTAATTTGACAAAAAAATAGCTTTGAATTCCATTTTAAATATAAGGAAGTAAAGTGTCTTTCACTGGTTATCTTAAATAATACCAGTTCTTCGTATATCTACGTCTGAAGGTGAGTTTGCGATTTTTCACAGATCTAAATGCTGCAAAGACTGATACCCAAAGTGCTTATTTGATGACCCAAAACAAACAACCCGCAAAAAAAAGGGGAGAGCGTCACCTTCCAGTGCGCTATCGTTCCACCACCTGCATTACTAACTGTAAGTCAATCTCTTTACAAGACGGATGACAATGATATTATGTCGTAAATACAATTTAATGAATCGAATTTGGATATGTGTATTGGAAAAAAAATTCGATACTTTTTTTACTACTTAAACTATTTCTGTCTTCTTTATCACCACTCTGTGCTAAATCGCGTTACTCAAATATTCATTACAAAAAAAGATGCCAAAACCTGAAATCTCAAAGCATGAGGAGAAGAATCCAACATTTTTTCCCACTTGAGCTCCTCACGAATACTGGAACACAACCCACCTTCAAAAGGAAGCATGTAAATCAGGTCTAACGCATTTAAATAATTATTCAATCTAAAATCTTTTTCTGATCTAAATTTTAATTTTTTATGAAAGTCTTTAATGTGTGGAAATACACATAAGCATGTTACATGTGGACATCTTGTTGTGAGCTGTTTATACTGACACTAGCTGATTGGCCAATAATTTTAAATTTCATTTTTATTGCCTCTTAAAATGAAGTTTGATTTTTGCTGTTTTGAAAAGTTCAGGAAATATTTCTGATTGTACATGAAAGCAGCATTGAAGAAGTGAGTTAGAAGATGTTTACTGACGGGAAAACAAGTGTTTAACAAACAATTCACTCATTCATCCAAACCAGTTGAATATTAATTTTTAGTTTACCAACTATTTTGTGGATTTTATTAGATGAAGTTTTGAAAGTTAACCCATCCAAAAAGATTGGGGAAACAATGATGTTGAATTGTGTACCTTTAGACCAGAGGGGAACAACCCTATCAAAGCCTGAGGACATAGAATTTATTAATATCTCATGGGGGCCACATCAACAATTTCTCACATTGCCAGAAACAAAAAGGAAATACTTAACAAATGGTACAGACACTTTGAAATTACTCTTTTGAAACATTGTGTGAATTTTGGAATAGCTGACTCCAAGATTTACAATCAGATTTGCAAGAAAAAGAAAGTTCCTAGCACTTCCCTTTTTGCATTATTTGTTATGCTTACAAATATATTGTAACATTACTTAAACCTGTAAAATTGTTACTAACCTGCAAAGTAATTGACCATGCTGGGATTTGAACATGGGTTCTTAAGTTTAGCAAGCGGTGAACATAACCACTTCTGCAATCGCCTGAGTAAGCATAACATTTCAAACACTAAATATAAAGATATGCTGTTGAAATTTTCAAAAATTCAGAGGTTTTAATGAAAATCAGATGAATTTGATTACAAGAAAACAGAAAATTTTCCAGATGAGAAAACCTTGTTTATGTAATTTTTAAAAGATATTACTATTTTACTCAAAATTGAACAAAAAATAGTACTTGTATTTTCTAAAATCTTGACATGACTTTATTTAAAGATCTACTTAAAAAGATGTTTTGTTGAGTGAAATATTTATCTTTATATTATAATTAAAAAAAGGTGCTGAAGAAATTTTGAGCTTTTTTAATTTTTAAAAATTCAATTTCGTCGATGAAAATCATACCCAAGTCATTTTTATAAGAGAACTTTACTCTGTAGGGGGAAAAGTTTAGAGAAAAAATTTGAAATCATTTGTGGGAAAATCTTGTTTTTAAAATTCCCTTTATATCACATAAAATAATGCAAAAAATACTCAAATTGTGAAAGAAAAAAGGGATACGTCCTAATTAAAAGATCTGTTAACTTTTGTAATTTTTGAAAATTCAGAGAATTCAACAGAAATCAGACCCAAGCCTTTTTTATTAGCCTGTTTTGCTCTGAGAAAAGAATTTGGAGCTATTTGTGAGAAAACTCTGAAAATGTCCTTGATGCTTTGTATAATGTCCCTCCCAAAATCAAAATATTAGTTTGATTAAAGGAGCTCTAAAGTCTGCCAGATTGATCAGGGGCTGTATTTTGGTGAAAATCGTATCTATGGTTTACCCTTATTCAAATGGGCAGACAAACAATTTGCACTACAACAATTTTGTAGAATAAAGGACCCACAAAACTAGAATTCTGACTTCATAGCATGTAAGAGGAAGTAATTTACTGCACATTTTGAAACAAGAGTATCTCCCTTTTTCAGTATCAGGGACATAATAGACACATTTTTGTTGTGAACAATAAGTAATATTTCACTGCAGTATTACATATTTTCTCTACACTATAATATGCAAGAAAATAAAAATAATACATTGAAAAGTGTAGGTTTTCTTTCTCCCAAGTGATAACATCAAATATTTCATTTTAGTTTATCAATCCTGTTTAATTCATAGGTGCAATTACAATTGATCCTGAGGTATATTTTAATAAGCAGTAGTCTGATTGTCTATTTATGGAGATTATGTATTATGTAGATTATTGATTATCTTTGCAGGAACCTCCACCTACTTACCAGTCTGCCACCGGAAAGAAGAACCAGTAATCACGCTTCTTGCTTATCCATCTGTACAAGACTTGATGGGTAATTGTTTCATCTGCTAACTTACTGGCTGTTTGTCTGCTGGTTTATTCTTGTGAGAATCTTGTGCATATGTATATTTGTAAACATTTTTTGTCCTAGAGCACTATAAAAATGTTTCAAGAATATTTCAAAGCAACTGATATATTAAAGGAAACAATTATTGTAATAATCAGAGGTCAAGATTAAGGGTTTTATGTTAATAGTGGGACCATGTTTTAGTGGTAAATTGTTATGGAGATAATATTTTATCAATGTTACATTCAATAAAAGCTTGTTGCAAGATCTTTGTCAATGCATAGGATCAGCTTGTCACTTGTTTTTGTTTTTTATAGCTTTCTGAGCTTAGTGTCAGATTTATGGTTCTTGGTTTCCCTGTTTTGCAGTTTAGCATTACTATCCAGACTTACCACCATGTTGACACACATTTTAGTGTTGGTTTCTCATTACAATATCATGAAGACAATATCCAATATTATATTAACAATTTTAAAACCATTTTGACTGTGAATGCAAATGACAGTTTGGTCTGCAGTGCATTTTCTTGCAACTAGTATTGCTTCTCGTTTAGATAATTTTATAATTGAAAGTAATTAAAAGAGAATTATTTTATATTTATATAATGCTTCTCAACACAACTGATGTATGTTCTTCAGTATTATTGTGATTGTGAATATCAAAGAATATTATTTTCTTTCTTGTAAAATTATATTAATTATATGCAACACGTTCAATTCCTTTTCAAATTGCCATGTTGGTGCTAAAGCACAAATGGAAACTTGCATGCTATGTATAATTGAGTAGTTTAGTTGGAAAATTCTAAAAAGTCCATAAAACTTGTACATATAAGAAGAAGATAAAAATTGTAATTATATTAGTTAGCATTTTTATTCTTTATATTATTGTGATACCAAGACTGAGGATCGTAGGGCCAAGACCTACTTTTAAAAAATCACTCAAGCAACTTGAAAAAACAAGGGGTGGAATGTTTTTCCAGAATGGTTTACAGATCAATTTGAATAATTTCTTTGGAAAAGAACCCTTCATAAATTTTTTTAAAAAAATTGATATTTACAGGAATATAGGAAATATGTTGTATGTAAACATTTTCAGTATTTGTATTCTTTTTCTTCTTTTCTTTCTTTCGTTGTGCTTCAAATATTTTGGATATCTTGTAATGACAGTTAAACAGATTACGGCTGTGAAGATTTCTCTTTGCTAAAAGACTTGGCTTGTTCAGTGCTTTAATGTATTTAATCATATGGAATTTAAGGTTACTGTAATAATTCTTCTCACGTTTTGGTTTCTCACGTTTCAATCTACAATTTTCGTATTCTTTTATAATTACTCAGGCTTAATACGTGATTGTGCAGATACTTGTAAACCACCAGTGAATACATAGAAATGTGATCAAACATTTGTTATATTGAATAAGATTAATGCAGCGACTCCAATAGTGAACTGTTTTCGAGTCAAAACTGTGAATTGGTCTTGTTCTCTCTCTCTATCACTCACTTGGTTTCACTCTTCTTTTTTCTCCTAAAAAACTAAACAATATTTAATCACTTCATAGTATATAATAGAAAAGAGTTCAAGCAAAAAATAAAAATGTAGTTTCTTCAAAATTTTAAATTACAAATATTTAATATTAATGGCAAATGAAAGCCAGTATAGGTTTTGTTGTGCTGATGTCCAGGGCACAGTTTAGTGTTTCCTGCCTTCATTGATTAATGTCTTTCTGCTGCTTCATTTTTTTTTTTAAAATATAATTGTGATTTCTTCAAAATTTCACAATGGTAGTTTTTGAGTATAGCTTTTATATTCTAATCTAATAAAATAAACACCAGATACCCCCTGGCTGGATGTTGCTTTTGATAGCTAGGTTTTAAAACTGAAGTACGATTTCGAGAATTACGTAAGACTTCGTAGGAACTACTGAAAATATAATGAAATCTTATTTAGAAGCTTTGCCATACATATAATAACCTATTCTTCTTGATAGTATCTATTGTGGGATCATGGCTCTATGTTGAGGATTGCTATGATAACAAAAATGTCATTTTCACAGAAATGTTCATATATTGGTTGGTTCATATGTTGTTCATATTACAAATACGAATCAAACAATCAAAAGAAACAAATTGAAACACTCAGATCTATCAAGTGTACAAGGAAACAATGAATCAATGAAATAATATCACACAAAAACAATCTGTTACTGACAAAAAGGTTATAAACATTTTCATTACCATCATCATCATCTGATATGCATAAAAAAAATGGTTCCATTACCATTTCGTAAATTTGATTTCTCTCAAGAACACCTTGCTGCCAAGGTAGAGAGTTTGAGTTCTGAATTATTAATTACTATCCTGATAAATGAGGAATCCACAACTAATTATGAACATATTTTTTTAATACAAGTTCAATACAATTTCATTCATGTGATCAATAGATAGGAAGAACAAAATGTGTGTATTGTTCTATTGCACATAATTCTGGTAAGTTTTTGTCATTTAACAGTTTTTGTAACAGTACAGTGCCAATTGTATTTCAGGCCTAATGAATCCGAACTTTCTTAGCATTGTGGAAGTTTTCGGTAAAAGTAAAATCTGGTGGTGTTCCAGAATTGCACGGATTTTCTCCTATTAATTTTCTATATCCTTTTGTGTCTATTCGAACATGCCACATACTCTTACCTGCTGCCATCTATCACCGCCCAAAGTACATTTTTTTCAAATTTTCTTTTATTTTTGATTTCCTAAGAGTAGAACAGAAACATTATTATAAGAATATTAAAGAACAGTAAAACCTCGTCCGAAATGGCAATTTCCTTCGAAAAATTTGGAGCTGTTTTTAAGAAAACTGCTTATAAGTGCTGCAGTAAATTCGAAATTTGAAGCACTTTCTCACAGAAATGTTTTAAGTTATCAAATCATTTGTTGCACTTGAATTAACAAATTCAAAAGTGTTTACCAATTACTAGAAAAGTGCATATTACCGATGAGAGAAGATATTTAAAAATAAAAATAATTTTGTCATTTTTGAAGAAAAAAAATTACACCAAAATTAAATTTGTTATCTTAAACAGTTCAATTAGCATGGTCCTTTCGAAAAGTTTGAAAAAAAAATTTGGAGGCACTTTTGAGAAAATGGCGTTTGAGTACTGCCGAAAATGCGAAATTTTGTGCTAGTATTGACAGAAAGTGGTTGAGTTTTGGAGTAGCTTTATGTGACATTATTTATAGTACATATACTCATAAATATAATAATGTGAATAAATTGCCGCTAATGTAAATTTGGACGACGTGAAAGACAAGTAAACGTTTTTTGTAGGTTTTGAAAATACAAAAGAGTAGACCATTGTGGCGTTTATCATCTTTTAGAGTGCATTTAGCACAAACTATACCAAAAGGTTAAAGAAAAAATTGGGGAGCCGTATTTGAGAAAATCTTGTTTTTGTATTTTTTAATTGTACGCAATATTGCGCGAAAACTAAACTTTTCAAAAAAATGTACATTACCTTGATGAAAAAACAAATTTCATTTAATGGAAGATTTCTATCTTTAACTTTCGAAAATTCAGAGTTAAAATCGGACCTCTGCCACCTATAAAAGTGTAATTTACTTAAAAGAAATCTAAACATTGATTTTCTCCGTATTTACCTGAACTTAAAGTTCAATAAGTTCCGAGGCAATTCTGTTCGTAGATTTCTGGCACATTTGCCATCGAGCATTTTGATTCAAATTAAATGAAATCTCGTGTGGCAATTCACTTGCCTTCACTTTTCAATTCCTCATAACCTGTGTAACGTATTAACCAGCGTGCCTCGTGGTATCTATTGGGGGACGCTTGGCAGAGGATTAGCCTCGCCACAGGAAGAAGGGTTTTTCCGTAAAGGCATGAAGCGCGGAACGGGAGCACAAAGGTTTTGCGTCTTCCGGGTTATAGAGCTTTTCACTGGTTATAAAAGCGAGGGGTGTGTGACGTAGTACGTCCGGGGCCCTCTCCCTACTATAACAGGTGTACAGAGCATGCGATGGGTTTGGGACAGTGCGAGAACTCGGGCGTGTGCACAAAACTTGGCGCCACGACGGTGCATATGCGAGGCCAGGCTCGCGAGGCTCGAGTCACTAGTTGAAGACCGCGTAGACTTTATGCCTTGGGTGACTGCGGTCACGGGGGAGCGATGCTGTTGTGCGTGTCCGAGGTGAAAGGTGTTGAGTGCCGATCACGCCGATTCTCAATCGGATAGATCGCTCTGCCGATCAGCAAACCAGCCGTTGGTGCGCCAGAACGGACCTTTGTGTCCCAGCGTGACATCCGGTCAGAAGCTAGGCTTTGTGCGCGCTTCAAAGTAGGAGTGGCGAATGCCACAATCAAAACCATCTTCATCGGTTTGGATGCTCCCGCGATCAGGGGATAGTAGGTCTATCAGAGCTAGGGGTAAGTAGAGTGATTATCGTATATTTTTATTGTTGTTCTGTTAATAAATTTTATTTGTTTATATGAAAGCTCTGTGTCTGTGGTCGCTGTGAGTATCCATGACGTCACACCTGCATAGACCTACTTGGGTGGCGTAGATGGCAGCGGTATAACGCACAAAAACGCTTTTTTTAAATATATTTCTTAGAATATTCTGGCCGGATCCGAAAACAAACTATCAGTTCACCTTCAGGAGACCGAGATACAATGGATGACACCTCATACGTTTCGATTGGGGTATGGGAAGTGGTCTAACCGTGAGTGACCGATCCGCACACATGCACTCATGCACACTCAGTTATTCAAATATTGTATAGGGAATACATTTGTTCTCAAAATACAGGAAAAATTAAATATTTTATAATACAAATTTGAAGATCCGCGAAATGAAATGTCTATTTTTTTTAATGTGTCCCAACATTGAGGGGGCAGTTACCGTCCCCTGCATCCCGTCTCTGTACCCAGCATATAAATGAAAGGTAGTGGAGATTGAAGGAAAGATGTTAAAGAATATTGAAAAGCAGAGAATTAACGACTATTGAAAGACAATATAATAGACAAAAAAAATCACATAATTCAAGAGAACGTTTTTTTTCAATGACTCAAGTAAATTATTGTATTACTGAGTAACTTAGGGCAAAGAGTGCTGAAATTTTAGTTTTGTGTTTGCATCAATGATATGATCATAAGTTATGATCCAAAATGACAAAAAGGAAGCTTGCTTGATTGTTAATGCGGTCACAGAAATTATTTCATTTGAATCACCAGCACTGATCGAACTGGTGGCGTGGAATCGGAATATTTTTGCCATACTCTTTTACAATAAGAGATTATTCTCGGAACGTGTTGCTTCTGTGAAATGCCTGTTGCATTCATACGAAATATGAGAAATGTGGGGTAAGGTGTACGGGATATTTCACATGCAGACATTGGAAACCGCAATATGGTCAAAATGGTTGGGGCTGCAAGAGATCCCATTCCAACTCCATAATGCAGACCCGTGACTTTCAGTTCATTATGGAGAGGTCGTGCAACTTTGTTGGCCTTATCTTTTTCAGTTACAGTTCAATGTTTGGGATTTCTTTCAGACCCATTTTAGAATCCAGGATTTACAGTTACATTAAGGTGACCACTCATCAAAATCGTGGATTTTGCAGCGCTGTCCGCTACGAGACGTGTTGGAAGAGAGTCAATAAGGTTCTGGATCTACGTGCATGTGGAACAATGCCAACTCCAGTTCCGTGGCCAGGTGCATGAGGTTCCTTAGTTGCGGATCCATGGCGCGAAAAGCCCCATCGAGATGGTAGCACATATTCTCGATTGGGTTAAAGTGGGGTTAGTTTTGTGGCCAGGGGAGTACTGTAAACTCATGCTGGTGTATACTATGTTGATCCATTGCGTTCCCAGAATGACGAGGTCACCCAGGAATGTCAGGAAAACATTCCTCGTACCTTCACGCTCCGGCTTGAACCCGTCCGGCGAACGTTCGTCTTTGCAGGGTACCGGCGGGTGGTGGCCCAATCCAAACCTATTAATAGAAAAGAATAATAGAATACCTTCTAGTATGGAAGACATTAGGGGCCTGTATTCCATGGGCAAGTAATTCGAAGAAACGTTCTACAGTATTTGCAACAAACAGCATTTTACAAACTACGAAAAACCTTACTAGCGTATTAGACATATTTCCGGTGTAGCTTCCACGTCAAGGGAGATAGTATTTTCTCTTTCTATCATACCCCTCCCATCCCCCACCATCACTCCGCTTCTTGCTCCCCTCTCTGTATCTCGTTTGACCTTGAGGAATTAGTGTCCTGTCTCAAGTCCTAATAGTCTTCGGCAAGGGCAGAGAGTATATAACAAGGGCAATGGTCCGCAATCCTGTAGGGACTGCAGACCCTTCCGTACAGTTTGTGCATGTTCGTTGAACATCGGCTGTGATTTTGAAAATTTAATGTAAATTGAATACTGTCAACAATTTGCGTGTTTAGTGTCTGCGTTTTCAAGTATATTATTTACAATTTGCACTCCTATTGCGATCCTCAAAGTAAGTATCTTTATACTTACAAAGGTAAGCGTACAGTGATGGAAATGGATCTGGAAGCGCAACGCATACTGGATACAGTAATACATGTCACTGTTTTGAAGCGGAAGAAACAAATAATTTTAAACGGATTGCTCCACACCTGAATCAAAAATAAGGACACAAGTGAAGACCTGCCTAAAGATCTTGGGTGATACATTGATATGGAAATATTAATAAAGCTATAAAAACAACTTTTTAAGCAAAGCACCTCCGCTA